AGGTGTAATAAGCTCTTCCTATAAACTCGGGGCGTCTGAGAGCCTGTTGGCTGCCCTCTGCGACGGGACCCTGGTCCTAGCAGTAAAGTCACAGACGTTAAACTATTTTTCGGGGCGCCCTCCAGCCTCCTAGGCTGCCCACTGCAATGAGACTTTGTGTCTCAGCAGTTGAAGACTTGGGTGTAACACACACACACGCACTGCCCTGACCGTCGGCTGACAGCCCCACAGGGAGAGGTGTGGCTCAGGCTATCCTCACACAGTGTTCCCAATTTCCCTTTGGAAAATATGGACAACCTTGTCAGCCGACGGTCAGGGCTCCCTATATCTGTCCCTTAAGACCCGCTGAAGTTCTTTTAAATTGTGCTTGGTTCTATTACAGCAACTGAAGGAGTCAGGTTAAAACTTAAACAGTTACAGGTTTATTAAAGAAGCTTATAAATCATATGGTTGCAATGGCTATTGTTCTATTTCTTAACTACTAGCAAAATATAGATCTTAAAAATGGTTACAAAGAAGATAAAGATAGAAAAATAGAAATAATGGTACCAAGTAACAGCTTACTCTTTCTATGTGTACACTTAAGACAGAGGACCACATCCAGGTACAATTTTTACCCCCTTCTGTGCCTCTCGACTCCAGCATGTCAGGCCAGGGCCGGTCCCTCAATTCCTAGGAAAGACGAAAATACGAGGTGGGCGTCCCCATAGAACCTCGGGAGGTCAAACACCTAACCTGACCAGCAGGTAGAGGGTAGAATGACACTCAAAGTGAGTGTGAGCTGGGCCCATCTTATATACCCATGGGGTCACGTATTTCTCTTTCTTGTCTGTCATGCCAAATGGGGCTGGTCTGTCTTTTGTGAGACCAGTTCTTACAAGGGAGTTGTGAACTTAATTTACACTTGTAAGAGAGAATTGAGATGATTAAATTGGAAGTACTGGGCATTCTTTTCTCAGTGGGGGATTCCTCTCCCAGGGACTGTGTGTTCGTATCAACATAGGTGCCAGCCGGGCACACTCGCATATCCTGATCTTGCATTAAAGCAGATCAAAGCTTGATGGCTATGCTGATTGCCTTAATCGCTCTGTCTCTCCACATATCTGGGTTTTTTTTTTTAGCTTCTCAGGATCAGATGAGCCAGCATAGACTATGCTGATTTTACTGCTCCTTCTCTGCCCTGTATGCTTCAGAGAGGCAAATAAGATGGGTGAGATGGGGTGTTGGTCTGTCTGGCTACAAACCTACGCTATCAAATTTAAAAATACAGAAAGCCCTTACATCACTTAGTTTATTTCCTGTGCAGGATTGCTCCTCACAGTATATATCCTAGTGCAGCAAGGTTTGAACAAAGACATGAGCTGGATGGGCCACTATATTCAACATTCTAATAACATCAAAAGCTAAGTATCAAGCATTAATAGCCCACTCTATTAGTTTCATTTAGCAAGGACACTCTAATTGACAAGATTTTCCCCTCTTCTCTTTCTCCTTCCCCGTTCCCTCCCCAACCCCTCTTTTTCTGGTATTTATTTGTACCTCTGGACCCCTTGCTCCATTCACCTGAAAAAGTGAGTTGTGCCCATGAAAGCTCATGACACTATCTACATTTTTTGATTGGTCCTGCAGTACCTCAGAGACTTTCTTTGTTTTTTTTCAGTTACAGACTAACACGGCTACCCCTCTGAGACTTTTAAACATTACAAAAAGGTGCTTCCAGGAAATAAAGCATCTGTATGCATCACTCTAGGTTAACTGCACAATGTTAGGCACATGATTTGCTGTATCCACTACTTTTCATGCTGGCCAGTAATTGTTTCTTGTTCTCTCCCGCATTTCTTTGCTTTATCCACTTGTTTGCACTCTTTGGTCTCACTCTGTGATTATAAGATCTTCAGGACAGGAACCATTTGTTATATATTTGGGCAGTGCTAACACAAAGGGGTGCTCCTGCTATTGTAATGCAAACAAATAAATAATAAGAACCAAACCACAGAATAATTTATATATGAATGTTATTAAAAATGCTGGTACAGTATAAATGTGAAACAAATTTGAACATTATCATCCACATTTAAAAGCTTAATCATAATTCTTGCATATACATAACTATGAAAATGTCATGCACATATAAAAAACAGAACTGAACATTTATTTACAGTAGCATCAAATACAACTAACTACACAAAGCAGTTTTTCTCCATAGGCCATAAATAGCTACTGTAAACTATTTTCTAAATTTCGTTACTATGGCTGAGAAAATCTTGATTTTAATAACTCTTGAAAAGGAAGGTCAAAAGAATTTGTTAGTAATAAGCACATTGCTGCACCAAATATTAGATTTTCTAAGTAAGTAACTGGTACTCTCAGATCTTTAATCACACAAAATAAAATAAACAGTGAATAGTCTTTGAATTAATATCTTGTCTCAAGAGGAACACATTCACTTTTCCTATTAGCATGAGGGGAGGGATAGCTCAGTGGTTTGAGCATTGGCCTGCTAAACCCAGGGTTGTGAGTTCAATCCTTGCAGAAGGAATTTGGGGTAAAAATTTGTCAGGGATGGTACTTGGTCCTGCTGTGAAGGTCCTTTCAAGGTCCATTCCAGTTCTAGGAGATAGGCAATCTCCAAAAATTTAATTTATTAATACAACTGTGGTTCAATACTGAAATAAAAAATGCCACAAGTTCAACCAAGTATTGCTAAATCACAGAACAAGAACTGACATGTCAGCTTTAGATGCACTCCACAAGTGTGAAGATTATGGATATGCAGGACTAGTTTACAAAAGACTTTTCTCTCTAAATTTCACATCACTGGTTCTACCAGTTTAACCTAGGAACGATTTAACTATCCTGCAATAACTCTTTAAAAAACAGCAAATACTGTTGTTGCTGTGGGTAATTCTGCTGCAGAAAATGTGACTTGGGTCATAAAAATAGAACTATGCTTTGTGCTTAAAATACACTCATTTCCTGATTTTTTTTGCATATATTCACTGTCTTGTGCTGTGGAGAGAAGTTTTTTAAAAATAGATATATAAAAACTATTGTGCTTAACTCAGCGGCACATAAACATAATAAAATTGGAATACAAAGGTAAAAGATATTTTAGTTGTAAAGACTATATATCATATGATACGATATTTGATACTTTAAAAAGTATAACATTAGGAAATGTGCATAGAACACATTGCTTTGCAGGCTTTGTCTACACTAGAAAAATTTTGCTAGAGTAGCTATACCAGCAAACACTCCAGCTGTGTCTACATTGGCAAGATTTTGCGCAAAAGCAGCTGCTTTTGTGCAAAATCTTGCTGCCTGTCTACACTGGCCGCGAGTTCACGTGCAAGAACACTGACATTCTAATGTAAGAAATCAGTGCTTCTTGCACAAGAACTATGACGCTCCCGCTCAGGAATAAGCCCTTTTGTGCAAGTGTTCTTGCACAAGAGGCCAGTGTAGACAGGCAACATGAATTTCTTGCTCAAGAAAGCCCGATGGTTAAAATGGGCATCGGAGCTTTCTTGTGCAAGAGAGCGTCTACACTGGCACGGATGCTTTTGCGCAAAAGCACACCTCTTGCGCAAAAGCACATGCCAGCGTAGGCACTCTCTTGCGCAAATACTCTAATGCAAAAACTCTTGCGTTAAAGAGTATTTGTGCAAAATCTTGCCAATGTAGACGTAGCCTCCAAGTGTTGGTGCAGTTTAAACTGGCATAAAAGTGTTTTTGCCAATAGACTGTATACTGGTTGTTGATTATCTACAGGAGCAACAGTACTTTTATGATACAACTGCAACTACACAAGAGCTTTTGCCAATATAAAAATGTTGCAGAACATTATCAACAGAACTTTTTCACATAGTCCAACCCATAAACAGAAAAGGTTTACTGCCTGCAAAATTCACTAGTAACATTTGGAAGAGGATAGGCAAATAATGAAAAATCCAGAATGTATTTTGGTAACAGTTCTTTTATAAGCCCACGTTGAGTGTTACATAGATAGTAATGTAGAGTTTCCTGAGTCACAGGCTTATACCACGATTGTCTTTCTGGGAAACGGATAAAAGAAGGTGCTCGAATATGTTCAAGAATGTAATCTGCATCCATATTCAGTCTTTCATATGATCCGATGAAATCGTACCTCACCGCACAAGGTTGGCATAGATTGTAGATGGGCATCCAGTGTTCATTCATTCTCTCTGCCTCTTCATCTAACAGGTACTGAAGAAACTCAGAAAATGTGACATCATCCCCTGTGGACTTTTGGGCGCTTTTTCTGTATCTTTTAATTATTTCCACACCATACTTTAACTGGTACTCTTTGATTTCTCCAAATTTATTCCTATAAGCTGATAAAAGTCTCTCCATTGGATCTCGAACAAATATAAACTTGTAGTAATGCTTTAGCCGATAGCTGATCTCATCTGGCTTCATGTCACTGAGAAAAATCAAGTCATTTTTGTGGTCCATTTTGAGTTTTACGTTCACATTCTCCAGTGCTCCATCCAAAACTTTCAGTATTCGTTTCCAGTTAGAGCAGGCGACTTTGGGGACGTAGCAGTATAAGAAACGGTATTTATCACTGACCAGGATGTGTTTGAGCATTGTTCTCCTCTGACCTGCTGAAAGCTCCCAGATGCTGTGAGGCATGCTCTTTTGCCCACATATGGTGTGGATTGTTCTGTTTCGAATGTCTTGTACCACCTGGTAATCCATGTTCTCAGGGGCCACGGCCCTGGTGCTTCCACTGCTCCTCCAAGCGAGGTCTCCATGCGAGGGATGGAGCGGTGGTGACTTCACCTCTGCCAAAATGCCCCTCTCAATCATGAGCAGCAGGCCGCTGGAAGCCACAATCACTCCAAACATGAGCATGGAGGGCAACAACATGGTGCGACTGCTGCCCCGCATACGGGTGGGCACAGCAGCCCGGCGTAGGGAGGTGGCTCCCATCTCTGCACCCCGCACCAACACCGGGGTGAGGGGGCGTGGGAACATGGCCCCGGCACTGGTTCCGCGTCAGGGCTAAACAGCAGGCGGTGCCAGCCCCTGCCCAACGGGGGCACAGGCTGGGGCACTGCTGGATGAAGGCAGCACCTTTCCCTCAGGCCTCCCTGCCAGGTACAGCTGCAGGCCTCTCAGCCAGGCCTGGCAGCGGGGCTCTGCATGGCAGCGGGGCCCCCAGCGGCTGCCCCCCACGGGGGCTCGCGGCGCGCCAGCAGGGCAGCACAGCGTTCTAGGCAAGGGCAGGAGGCCGGGCCGGGCCGGCGGGAGAGTGCGGCGGGGCTG